AAATAAAGGGATGGAGGAAGATTTACCAAGCAAATGGAGAACAAAAAAAAAGCAGGGGTTGCAATACTAGTCTCTGATAAAACAGACTTTAAACCATCAAAGATCAAAAGAGACAAAGAAGGCCATTACATAATGGTAAAGGGATCAATTCAACAGGAAGAGCTAACTATCCTAAATATATATGCACCCAATACAGGAGCACCCAGATTCATAAAGCAAGTCCTTAGAGACTTACAAAGAGACTTAGACTCCCATACAGTAATAATGGGAGACTTCAACACTCCACTGTCAACATTAGACAGATCAACGAGACAGAAAGTTAACAAGGATATCCAGGAATTGAACTCATCTCTGCAGCAAGCAGACCTAATAGACATCTATAGAACTCTCCACCCCAAATCAACAGAATATACATTCTTCTCAGCACCACATCGTACTTACTCCAAAATCGACCACGTAATTGGAAGTAAAGCACTCCTCAGCAAATGTACAAGAACAGAAATTATAACAAACTGTCTCTCAGACCACAGTGCAATCAAACTAGAACTCAGGACTAAGAAACTAATCAAAACCGCTCAACTACATGGAAACTGAACAACCTGCTCCTGAATGACTACTGGGTACATAACGAAATGAAGGCAGAAATAAAGATGTTCTTTGAAACCAATGAGAACAAAGATACAACATACCAGAATCTCTGGGACACATTTAAAGCAGTGTGTAGACGGAAATTTATAGCACTAAATGCCCACAAGAGAAAGCAGGAAAGATCTAAAATTGACACTCTAACATCACAATTAAAAGAACTAGAGAAGCAAGAGCAAACACATTCGAAAGCTAGCAGAAGGCAAGAAATAACTAAGATCAGAGCAGAACTGAAGGAGATAGAGACACAAAAAACCCTCCAAAAAATCAATGAATCCAGGAGTTGGTTTTTTGAAAAGATCAACAAAATTGACAGACCACTAGCCAGACTAATAAAGAAGAAAAGAGAGAAGAATCAAATCGACGCAATTAAAAATGATAAAGGGGATATCACCACCGACCCCACAGAAATACAAACTACCATCAGAGAATACTATAAACACCTCTACGCAAATAAACTGGAAAATCTAGAAGAAATGGATAATTTCCTGGACACTTACACTCTTCCAAGACTAAACCAGGAAGAAGTTGAATCCCTGAATAGACCAATAGCAGGCTCTGAAATTGAGGCAACAATTAATAGCCTACCAACCAAAAAAAGTCCAGGACCAGATGGATTCACAGCTGAATTCTACCAGAGGTACAAGGAGGAGTTGGTACCATTCCTTCTGAAACTATTCCAATCAATAGAAAAAGAGGGAATCCTCCCTAACTCATTTTATGAGGCCAACATCATCCTGATACCAAAGCCTGGCAGAGACACAACAAAAAAAGAGAATTTTAGACCAATATCCCTGATGAACATCGATGCAAAAATCCTCAATAAAATACTGGCAAACCGGATTCAGCAACACATCAAAAAGCTTATCCACCATGATCAAGTGGGCTTCATCCCTGGGATGCAAGGCTGGTTCAACATTCGCAAATCAATAAACATAATCCAGCATATAAACAGAACCAAAGACAAGAACCACATGATTATCTCAATGATGCAGAAAGGCTTTTGACAAAATTCAACAGCCCTTCATGCTAAAAACGCTCAATAAATTCGGTATTGATGGAACGTACCTCAAAATAATAAGAGCTATTTATGACAAACCCACAGCCAATATCATACTGAATGGGCAAAAACTGGAAAAATTCCCTTTGAAAACTGGCACAAGACAGGGATGCCCTCTCTCACCACTCCTATTCAACATAGTGTTGGAAGTTCTGGCTAGGGCAATCAGGCAAGAGAAAGAAATCAAGGGTATTCAGTTAGGAAAGAAGAAGTCAAATTGTCCCTGTTTGCAGATGACATGATTGTATATTTAGAAAACCCCATTGTCTCAGCCCAAAATCTCCTTAAGCTGATAAGCAACTTCAGCAAAGTCTCAGGATACAAAATTAATGTGCAAAAATCACAAGCATTCTTATACACCAGTAACAGACAAACAGAGAGCCAAATCAGGAATGAACTTCCATTCACAATTGCTTCAAAGAGAATAAATACCTAGGAATCCAACTTACAAGGGATGTAAAGGACCTCTTCAAGGAGAACTACAAACCACTGCTCAGTGAAATCAAAGAGGACACAAACAAATGGAAGAACATACCATGCTCATGGATAGGAAGAATCAATATCGTGAAAATGGCCATACTGCCCAAGGTAATTTATAGATTCAATGCCATCCCCATCAAGCTACCAATGAGTTTCTTCACAGAATTGGAAAAAACGGCTTTAAAGTTCATATGGAACCAAAAAAGAGCCCGCATCTCCAAGACAATCCTAAGTCAAAAGAACAAAGCTGGAGGCATCACGCTACCTGACTTCAAACTATACTACAAGGCTACAGTAACCAAAACAGCATGGTACTGGTACCAAAACAGAGATATAGACCAATGGAACAGAACAGAGTCCTCAGAAATAATACCACACATCTACAGCCATTTGATCTTTGACAAACCTGAGAGAAACAAGAAATGGGGAAAGGATTCCCTATTTAATAAATGGTGCTGGGAAAATTGGCTAGCCATAAGTAGAAAGCTGAAACTGGATCCTTTCCTTACTCCTTATACGAAAATTAATTCAAGATGGATTAGAGACTTAAATGTTAGACCTAATACCATAAAAATCCTAGAGGAAAACGTAGGTAGTACCATTCAGGACATAGGCATGGGCAAAGACTTCATGTCTAAAACACCAAAAGCAACGGCAGCAAAAGCCAAAATTGACAAATGGGATCTCATTAAACTAAAGAGCTTCTGCACAGCAAAAGAAACTACCATCAGAGTGAACAGGCAACCTACAGAATGGGAGAAAATTTTTGCAATCTACTCATCTGACAAAGGGCTAATATCCAGAACCTACAAAGAACTCAAACAAATTTACAAGAAAAAAACAAACAACCCCATCAAAAAGTGGGCAAAGGATATGAACAGACATTTCTCAAAAGAAGACATTCATACAGCCAACAGACACATGAAAAAATGCTCATCATCACTGGCCATCAGAGAAATGCAAATCAAAACCACAATGAGATACCATCTCACACCAGTTAGAATGGCGATCATTAAAAAGTCAGGAAACAACAGGTGCTGGAGAGGATGTGGAGAAATAGGAACACTTTTACACTGTTGGTGGGATTGTAAACTAGTTCAACCATTATGGAAAACAGTATGGCGATTCCTCAAGGATCTAGAACTAGATGTACCATATGACCCAGCCATCCCATTACTGGGTATATACCCAAAGGATTATAAATTATGCCGCTATAAAGACACATACACACATATGTTTATTGCAGCACTATTCACAATAGCAAAGACTTGGAATCAACCCAAATGTCCATCAGTGACAGACTGGATTAAGAAAATGTGGCACATATACACCATGGAATACTATGCAGCCATAAAAAAGGATGAGTTTGAGTCCTTTGTAGGGACTTGGATGCAGCTGGAATCCATCATTCTTAGCAAACTATCACAAGAACAGAAAACCAAACACCGCATGTTCTCACTCATAGGTGGGAACTGAACAATGAGATCACTCGGACTCAGGAAGGGGAACATCACACACCGGGGCCTATCATGGGGAGGGGGGAGGGGGGAGGGATTGCACTGGGAGTTATAACTGATGTAAATGACGAGTTGATGGGTGCAGCACAGCAACATGGCACAAGTATACATATGTAACAAACCTGCATGTTATGCACATGTACCCTACAACTTAAAGTATAATAATAATAAATAAATTTTTTAAAAAAAAAGAAATTATTACAAGTGCAACTTTTTTTTAATAAAAATGCTGTATTAGCATGCAGAAAAAAAAAAACATAGACACTTTACAAACACGTGCCATTAATCTAGTAAAATATCATGTTTTCAATGAATCTTTACTATTTTAACTTTAACTTACCAACTTTTAAAACTAAACTTCTGAAGTTATTTTAAAATATAAAATGGTCAGTCAGTCAAAGAAACATCTGATATGTTTAGAGATAAAAAATCACTGTCTCAATTCAGGGTGCTGACAATATACACAAGAATGGAAAATAAATATGAGGATGGTAATTGTTTATAAAGTGTAAATTTGACCTAATACAATTTATTTTTAACTATATCACCGTATAAAAATTAGGCATTATGTTCTTGGAAATATACTGTGGTTGTAGATAAATAATTTTGTGCTTTTTTTTGGTCCATTTGCTCATTTTCATTAGATAAGTTTTCTGTTTATATGATTCTATTTTCTATTTTTTGGCATACCAAGATCACATCTTTAATCTTTTCTTCCTTTGTTTAATTCTATTCATAGCATCTTTTTAGCTCATTCTTGACATGGTGCATTCTCAATCCAATGTTAACTCAAACCTTTTAAAAACTTACTTTCAAATTTACAAACACTTAACTGATCTGAAGCATGTTTTTACTCGAATAATCATCAGATTATTATCAAAAGTTGTGGCATTCTTCTTTGATACTATTGAGCATTTGGGGGCTGGGATATCTTCCAGAACCACTAGTCATAAATTTCTCACTTCATGTCTAGCTGTTCTTAACTAATCTAGTTTTACAGTGTGAGTCCCATAACTGTGTATTGTTGGTAACATGGGAAAATGCAAAACTAAAAAAAAACCACTAAAAATTTTTTTTTTATCATTTAACATATTCACAGAAGAAGGTTCGTCATTAATGATACATGATCTAAATTAAACCTGCAGGATTTTTGTCTAAAAGTAATGTTGAACAATTTACAATTTATTTTAACATTCACCCCCTTGAATACAGGAGCTAATAGTAGCATTCGCTGGGGGAAAGGGATGAACAGGTTTGGTCTACCTTTCTATTTTTCCATGATTTTAAAGTACACTCACCTCCTCCAAAAGGTCCCCATATGACTCGGCGGATGGACTTCACCCAGTCTTCCATATCATTCTGGGTGCTTGCCATGAGGAGGTAGCTCTCATGATTTGCTGTCATCCGATCTCGATCGCCTCCTGTGAAAACACAGTAACACATGCAGCTGAGGTTGCATCCAGAGATTCCTCATCATCAGCCTACAGAGGAACCCCTGAAACAAAGACTGTGCCTAAGACAGCCCGTACTAAGTTCTACCCAATGAATTGAAATATTTACCATGGTTTCTGAGTGGAAAGAAAAATTTTAAAAAGGAGAGACTCTTATGTTTTCAGGAGAAAGCTGGAGAACAAATGTCATTTTCTAAACAAAGCCTGGGTTTTTTTTGTCCTAGCAACAACCCATAGGTCTGCATCAGTTCATAATCCAATCTATTCACTCGAAGCTGCTGAACAGGGAGAAATAGCAAAAACAAAATGAAAGACAGAGAAGACGGAAAAGTGGTCCACAGAGCTTGGCCTTTCATTTGAAGCAAGCATGAAACAGTCTGAGCTCTGCATAGTGCACACACACAGAGGCCACCAGGACATCGTGATTGGATATGGAAGTTACAGGAAAGAGTAAAGAGCCACATGCAACAACTTTGACCCAGAGGTTCTTCTTTATGCCTCTGTTCTGGAAGAGGAACCTCATCCCCTGAGATCACAACTTCAGGAAGGCAAACGAAGAGGAGGCAGGGAAGAAGACATACCTGGACAGACACAAAGGCCAGATCAACACCCCCGATGGCTCTCGCACCTGAGGGTGAGCTTTAGGAAACTCTGGCAGTGCCTCTGCAAAACCTTGATGGTTTCTCTAGTATTTTTCCCCAAAGAACAACTCATGAACTTTAAAACCTTTATAATCTCTAATATCAACTTTGAAGTGCTAGACTTCCAAAGCATGTAATTGAATTTCTTAGCGCATTTAAGTTTCCCCAGTGAGTTAATTTTCCCACTTACAAAACAGGGATAACCATATTTGACCTTGAAACAGGTCTTGAGGCATGGTTTCGTTATACCTTTTATGTTTAAAGGAGTATTTCTGAAGACAAGTATCAGAGCCTGCACCCCTTCACTGTCTTTGAAAATAGTGGTGCTCACAGAAGGAATAATTAAAGAAATAGAATAGTATTTAACGGGATCCTGATAATATGTTAATATACTAACTTCTAAGGTACTCAAATATCTATCAACATTTAATTTTCATGCAGTGTTGTATACTTGATCCCTTGGGTTGAATTAATTCATATCTGAGTGTTTTGTTTGGTTAAGATGTTGTTTGTTTGTAAGTGGATCTAAATCCTTTCACAAGGAACTTGCAGGCTCCAGTTTACAACAGGCACCACACTCTCTGTTATTTCACACTCAATATGGTTCACACATAGTTCTGAAAGTTACAGGCATTAGAGTTTGTGACCTCTAAATTCTATATGAATGCTGTAGGTTGAGAAGGACAACTATTCTAGCATTGATATAAATTTTTGAAACAGGTGAAAAGTCAGAGAAGTGTGGTAATTTTAAGCCAACCAGTTGAACAGCCCGTATTGGTGCATTACATTTTAATACAACTAAATGGGAACAGAGGAAGGGCTCAAAAAATATATCAAATAGGTTTCCTAATGTTGACAAATCTTTTGAATAAACAAAACTAGCCTCTTCATATTATAGCAAACATCTCACTACTAGGGAAACCGTGATTCTTTTACATGTCTAGTTCCACTCTAGGTCGATCATCAGCGATCCCCAACCTTTTTGGCACCAGGGACCCGGTTTTGCGGAAGACATTGTTTCCACAAATGGGCTGGTGGTGGGGATGGTTTCGGAATGAAATTGCTCCACCTTAGATCATCAGGTGTTAGTTCGATTCTCATAAGGAGCGGGCAGCCTAGATCCCTCTCAGGAGCAGTTCATAATAGGGTTTGCTCCTATGAGAATCTAACGCTGCCACTGATCTGACAGGAGGGGTAACTCAGGCGGTAACGCTCACTTGCCCTTGGCTCACCTTCTGCTGTGTGGCCCAGGGGTTGGGGTCCCCTGCTTTAAACAACTTGTATCTGAAAAATCATAGATTTAGAAGGCAAAGAAAACCCACCTAGAATCACAGTTTTATCTTATATTAGCTGTTTGACTTCCAGGGAGTTATTTAACTTCTGGAAACTCAGTGATCTTTTTTTTAAAAAACATTTTGATTTTAAGTTCAGGGATACATGTTCAGGTTTGTTACACAGATAAACTTGTGTCATGGGGATTTGTTGTAGAGATTATTTCATCATCCAGGTATTAAGCCTAGTACCCATTATTTTTCCTGATTTTCTCCATCCTTCCACCCTCCACCCTCTGACAGGCCCCAGTCAGTGTGTGTTGTTCCCCTCTATTTGCCCATGTGTTCTCATTATTAAGCTCCCACTTATAAGTGAGATCACACAGTGTTTGGTTTTCTGTTCCTGTGGTAGTTTGCTAAGGATAATAGCCTCCGGCTCCATTCATGTCCCTGCAAAGAACATGATCTTGTTCTTTTTTTAATGGCTATATAGTGTTTCGTGGTGTATATGTAACACATTTTCTTTATCCAGTCTGTCATTTGATGGACATTTGGGTTGATTCCATGTCTTCACTATTGTGAATAATGTTGAAATGGACATATGTGTGCATGTATCTTCATAATAGACTGCTTTATATTGCTTTGGGTATACACCCAGTAATGGGATTGCTCAGTCAGATGGTATTTCTGTCTTTAGGTCTTTGAGGAATCAACACACTGTCTTTGATGTGGTTGAACTAATTTATACGCCCACCAACAGTGTATAAGTGTTCCTGTTTCTCCACAACCTTGCCAGCATTTGTTATTATTATTTTTGAATTTTTAATAATAGCCATTCTGACTGGTGTGGAAAGGCATCTTACTATGGTTTTGATTTGCATTTCTCTAACGATCAGTGGTTTTGAGCTTTTTTTCATATGATTGTTTGCCACATGTATGTCTTCTTTTGAAAAGTGTCTGTTCATGTCCTTTGACCACTTTTTAATGGGGTTGTGTTTTTCTTGTGAATCGTTTAATTTCCTCATAGATGCTGGATATTGGAACTTTGTCAGATGCATGCAAAAATTTTTTCCCATTCTGTAGGCTGTCTGTTCACTCTGTTGGTAGTTTCCTTTGCTGTGCAGAAGCTCTTTGGTTTAATTAGATCCCATTTGTCAATATTTGCTTTCCTTGCAATTGCTTTTGGCATTTTCATCATGAAATCTTCACCTGTGCCTATGTCCTGAATGGTATTGCCTAGGTTGTCTTCGAGGGTTTTCACAGTTTTGAGTTTTACATTTAAGTCTTTAATCCCTCTGGAGTTGATTTTTGTGTATGGTATAAGGAAGGAGTCTGAAACTCAGTCATCTTGATTATGCTTTATAAATCATTACACATACTTAGTCAATTTTTGTGAGAATTCAACAAAATAAAGTACATAAAAATACTAGCACTATGTTAGGCAAAAGTAGAAACGTTGTAAATATTAAATTTATGTCATTTAATTATCTCTCACCCTTACCTATGCAAAAAGTAAATAAATCGATCCCAGAGATATTACATCTAATAAGTGAGAACAATTAGTCAATAGTAACGGGGATAGTCTAAAAGCGTTATTTTTCTTGATACACATATGCACACCAATACACATTAAAATTACATACTGCACATGTAAATATACTGTACATTAATATGCATATACTTGGCTGTATGACATATAAGTGGTAGAAGTAACTAAATGGCACAATAAAAAGATGCTTCATTTGGCATAGTGCAGTTCTAAAAATTAATTTTGTATTCTGATCCTCTTATATCACAGTATTGAGCCCAAAATATTATTATTTTGAAATCAGAATATTGTAATTATTATCTTTGCCTGAAGGATGCTTAGCAATTCACAGAGCAATATCCTGCTGTGTCACTCCAGGCCTAGTAATTAGAGTGAGTGGCAGCCGCTACAGTGTGTATCTGCCTGAAAGCAGAAGAAAAATAATGATATGCACAACTGGCCATTATCCCCTGACTTTTCATTTGATGCTTTATCTCTGCCAATGGTGCTGCATGTCTGACGCTGAATCTCATTTAGACTGCCAATCACAGATACAAAATCCCATCTGTGAATTTCATCTATGGATCTAGATCTTCATTCCTCATTTTAATAGCAAGGGGTGGGGCATGATTTAGAAAAACATTTTGTATGATTCTTTGTGTAAATATAGACTTATTACTAAAGGTGTGACTAAACAATTATATAGATATAATTTCTATAGATATGAACTACATACTCTGTACTAAAAATAGGTGATTTCTAACTGAAAGTGCCATCTGTTCTAATGCATAACCCCTCGGTTCTAAGAGCCTGGCACTACCTTGCAAGTGAAGGGGCTTAAAAATAACCTACCAAAGATATGATTTGATAAATGAATAAACTCGGAATTTTGACTTTCAATCATGTGGCTCAAGATTCACTCTCTTCCTTAGCCCTTTATGAGACTTAATGATCTGTTTAACCATTTCGAATAAAAAATTCTTTCAAGAGGTGAAATTTTAAAAAGCAATGTTGAGATCTAATTATCACTGGAATGGTGAGAGTTTCCCAGTCTTCAATCCATATGTAATATGTGTGTGTATTATATCACATTATATTCATATTATGTTAACCAGCATACATTCTACTTTCTTCATTTCTGCATGGACATAAGTATCTTATGCAGTTGTAATCTTTTAAATAATACTACTTTAAATGACACTAGATTTGTTCACATTTTAAAGAACACATGTCAGAAAGTAGTATACAACTTTTAGATGTTAACTCTTGTTGGTAGCAATGCTTTAGTGTTGCTGTTAACACATCAAGCATTTATGATTTTGTTAACTAAGTTGACCACATCATTCAATTTTACTTGTTTATATCTAATTGAAGGTATTTGTACATTTTATTGAGATATTCTATATATTTGGATTTGACATAAATTTTTCTTTCTTAAAAATAAAATAGGTCCTCTTAAATAGATGCTTGACATGATCAACTTTTATAAAAATTAAAGTTAGATTAAGAAAAGCTTAATGAATTCAATAG